GGGGTGAAGGCCCGTCGACAGCTCTGCGGGAACCATTTCATTTTATGTACATTGTGGGAGCTCGTGCAGATTGCATGAAACCAATTGGATGAACACTTGCATGCATGTAAAATATTTTCCAGCCATATAATATGCCCTGGTCTCCCTACGTGCATTGGTGTGGAAAATATACGCGCTTGCACGCATCATGCAATACAGCTTTTGTCCACACTGCAAAAACAGACTTGCAATGCATATACTCATGGCCTTGCTATAGTATAGAGCCTATAGAGAGAAGATCCTTTCATATATGCAATCTTGAGTTCTTGAATACAGCTCTTCGCGTTGAACTTTTTCTGTATATGGTCCTGGCTGTTTAACCACACAATGTGTGACCTACTCCTCTGCATGCACTTCATGTTGTTCCCAGCTTTTATCGGGATCAACATTTTTGCAAACCAATTGCTTTCTGAGGTCTCTTGCCGGGACGCCATCCGGCAGGCGCAAGTGACCAGGGTTGCATCCAAAGGATTGACATCACAGGCCAGGGTGGATCTGAAAAGAAGTGAGCAGGGTGCTCACAAAGTGTTTCAAGACTATGGTCAAAGTTTGTCTGTGAAGATTTCCAAAATCAACATAGACAGCATGGAGGGATTTCCGCTTGTGAAATTCAGCTCCTGGTTGCGGCATCTCGTGGAGGAGGACGAGTTGGGCAGACTGGTCGGTGTGGACAACATCAAGTCCATGCAGGGTCTCCTTCGAGCTTTTTGGTCCCGGTACCAAATTGTCAATCCTGACCACATCATGTTTCATAGCCAGGAGGGTGCTGCAGGGCAGCCAGAGATGACAATACCAATTTTGGTACATGGTGACGAAGGCCGTGGCAAGAAAAAAAAACAAGTTATGATCCTCTCCTCGACACCAGTCCTGGGAAAAGGTTCATCTCGCTCCAAACAGGATGATTCAGTTGTGGATACGGATTCCCCTTTGAATATGAATATGATTGGGGACACACATCTGACTCACTTTCTTTCGGCCGTCCTCCCGATCTCATTGTACAATGACAAGCCGGAGAGCTTGCACCAGGTCTTGGCTGCTTTGGCAGCTGACTTCCGACAGTTGTTCACTACCGGTGTGACGGTGAATGGGAAGAAATTTTTCATATGTGTGATTGGATGTAAGGGTGACTGCCCTTACCTGGTGAAGGCTGGGCGCTTTGACAGGAGCTTCGCTCGACGACCTCTGAAACGTTCCTCAAAGAAGGCATGTCCAGGGATCTGCCATTTGTGTTTGGCAGGCAAAGAGACCGACAGTCAGGGTATTGCAGTTGAAATACCATACGAAGACTACGGTACGGAACAGCCTGCTTGGCTGGAGACTATGGGGGTTGAGCCGGCCTACGAGGTGCCATCAGCCTTTGCAGCAATCCCATTTTTGAAAGATGGGGCCCAAGGAGGGTTGGACATGTTTTTCCAGTTCGACCTGTTTCATAATTTACATTTGGGTCTGGGAAAGAATTTCATTGCCAGCGCTATTTGCGTGTGTATGGAGCTCATCAACAATTCCATTGCTGGTGCGTTTGAAGACTTGACACGAGATTTTCGGGCGTACTGCCAGCGGAACCGCCAAAGCCCTTATCACAAAACACTGTCAGCATCCTTGCTTGGAGTTGAGGGTGGCTTCCAGGATGTTCCGGACGCGGCATGGAACAAAGGAGACCATACCAGGTTATTGCTCCAATGGTTTGAAGATTATTGCTCTCGAGAAGTTTTGGGCAAAACCAGGGATCCACTATACATCTTGTGTGCTGCTTTGCTTTGTAAACAGGCTTGTGCCGTTTCTTTTTCTGTTGGTTCAAAAGCCAAAGGTTGGTTCAGGTGGTTGGTTCGGCCTCACCGTTGGAACATACATGTTTGCACTTGGCCGTCCCAGGCTGAAGCGACTATGGCCATCAATGAGTGCGTTGGCGGGCTTTACAAGGAAGGGCTCTTTGTCAAAGCGCCCAGGGCCGAATATTTGGCCACAAAAGGCCTTGTGTTTCTGCAACGGTATCGCCAGTTGGCAGTGATGTGCTTCAGGCTTCGAAAGAAGCGCTTCCCTCTGATGCCCAAGGGGCATTATTTACATCACCAATTTTTGTCCATGTTGCATGCCTCGCGCCAAGGGCCATGGTGTATAAACATTTTAGTTTACGCCAACCAGATGTCAGAAGACTTTGTTGGCAAGCCATCGCGGCTGTCTCGCAGAGTTTCAGCCAAGACCGCCAGTCTGCGAGTCCTTCAACGAAGTTTCCTTGCAATTAGAAATTCAATTTGCTCCACGTTAGACCTTGGAGACTTAAAGCTGGGCACTTGAGCCTTTGGATGATGTTTGGGCTATACCCAACATGTTGTTCTATTCTATGCATCTTCCTGCACGCATGGTATGTATGAATGCGGGTGTTGAGATATGAACTCTATGTCTTTGTGTGGAAGTATGGTTGTTTCCTACACCACTACTGAACCCAGCAGGTCTCAGGCCGTGGCTTTGGCAGGATGCTTGCGGCACGGGGCCGCGATCGAGCCCGGTGGCCACGCGAGAAAACGTCCGTGAAACGAAGGGAAAGGATGGGAGGACGGGGTGAGAGGGGCTTTAAGTCATCAAATCCTATACAAGCTCCCATGATGATATTCTTTGTTTGGAACAGGGAATACAAAAACCGGGTTTTCAGACCTTCCATTTCCATGACCTAGAAAAAGTAGGTCGCAACATATAACCTTTCTTTTTCATGGTCGCGGCTGCTGCTGGTATATATATAATTGATGATCATTTGTCTTATGCACATATAGTCATGGGTATATAAAATACACAAGAGCTAAAGCTCTTGTGCCGCCTTCTCTAAACTCCGCTGATATTCCCCGAGCATCACTTGATGTTAGCAAAATCAAGATCGGCCTTCCAAGCTCTCGGTAGCAAGATGAAGACGCTCCCGTGCCTGGCTACAGGGCAGTAGAACAAGGAACAACTGTCATATCGGCTGCTCAACTCGCCGTTCTTTGCGGGTTGCCCAACCCCAAACCCATTAGGGCATAGGGCATAGGGCAGGGCCTAGGTGTCCGGCAAAAACTTATTAAAGCTTGACTTGAGTTTGGTGCCATCTTTTTTGACACCACCACAAATGAATCGGCAAACAAAAACCATGTACCGAGGAGGCAAAAGCTTTCAGAGTTGCATGCTCAACGCAGCTGCCACCAAAAGCATGTATAAGCATATTAATGTGCTTCCGGAGTATCGAGCATTCAGCATGACGATAAAACCACAGACTCTCTCTCCCTCTCCCTCTATATATATATATATATAATTTATATAATGTAATTGGTGCGCAGCCTCGTAGTTGAGTCGGTGCTGGACAGTGGGCTTATGGTGCAATAACTCAAGTGGCCCGATAAGAGCTGCTCCAAATGATCCAACCAGCACATGGATGGGGGGGTAGGAACAAGAACGCTACGAACGGGGCTCCTGGCATCGCTACTAGGAGCAAGGATGCTACTAGGGGCTCCTGGCCGTACTACTAGGAACAAGATCGCAACTGTTCGCAACTGAACAAGAAACTGACATGGAGCTCCTGTCCTTCTCCCTCTCTCCCCCTCCTTCCCTCCCTCCCCGATGAACCAAAATAAAACGTGAAGATTGTGAAGGGAAGCGGTTTTGCATAACCTCGCACTGTCAAGTCTCAGTCTAAGTGAGAACATCAAATCGAAACATCCACTAACAGAAAAGCTCTGAGCTGGATCACTCAATTGGCGAGCTTCAGCGTTGGCGTTGCCAATATCACCGTCTTACAGCTGTTTTCTTGGCAAGTCCCAGGTCTTCCAAATCCTTGAACTCCAAGCCTGCGTTTCCTTCTATCTTGGCGTTTCCTGCCGATGCACGGATCGCTTCGGATCATTTGGTGCCAAGTCTCCGAAACAGCCGACGGGCTTGCGACGCCGCATCGCTGGAATGACTCAGCCAAAGGAGTCAAAACTGTTATGGGGGGGGCACAATCTGCCCAGCAAAGGCAGCAGTCTCCCTGAAAGTGGTCTGGAGGCAAGTGCGTCAGGCATAATGTTTCTGTCAAAGATTCATGGCCTTGGTAGCCAGTGGCTACTTGTACAATTGCAGTGGTACTTATGTTCTACTGGGTTCTGGATGGCCTTGGTTAGGTTGCTTGACTTGCCTTAACAACCTCCTCTTTCCATCTGGTCGAAGTAAATTTACGCTACCCAGGCTGTGAATGCTTTGATCAACTCCTTTGTACCTACACCCTGGCGGGAGCGTCAAAGCTGCCATCTGCCTTCTAAAATATCCGCCGCTTCGGTGCGAATGCCATGCGGCGAGTATATACTTGTCATGGAGATGGCGAGGGAAGTCTCTATACTTTATTATTTTTGGGCTAACTGCTAACTTGATCATACATGATCTATAATTACCCTTGCTTTCCAGTCTTCCCTGCCGATCGCATGACATCCATCGTCGGAAGATGAAAAAATCGATTCGAGCACACAGCGATTGCCCTAGGGCTAAGCTGCCTGGCCTTAGCACAACACTTTGATCTCCGGCTTCACCCATGGAACCAGCATCAAGGTGAGCTTTCCACTGAAACACTGATGCCTTGTAGTACGCCGACAGAACTCCTCAAAGAAATCAGCCCAATTGTGTTATGATTTATTGAATATTCCGACATCCGGCCAAGGGCCAAGGCCTTGCGAAGTCGTCTTCCGAAGGTCCATTGACCTCGGACCTAGTCCCAGACTTTCCTGAGACAAGCAATTCATCCATCCACATTTTTAAGCCTGAAGTGCTGAAGTGCATTTCATTGCGCCATGATCCACATGAAGCAGGGCCTGTTGGTGGTAAGCAAATTAGAATTCGCCGAGTTCCCTTCACGAGCACCAATTCACAATACCTCTAATGTAGCCCGTGCTCAGGCTGATTGGAGACCTATGTTCTGGCCTTGTATGATGACCTCCACTTGCGATAGAATTCTGTGGAGAAACCGATGACGATGTAGCATGTGATTGGTTCTTGAATCAAGTGCGTTTTGTCATGCTATATGTCAATTGTCTGCTTTGGCAACTTGCGTGGCATCTCGCAACAATGCGACAATTTCCGTATGACCACCCGCAAGTGCCGCCATCTCCTCAGCACGGAGGGAATGGTTACGACAAAATTGGATGCTTCTGAAGGCGCAAAAACAACCTTCATCAAACAATGCGAGTGACAGGTAGTGAACCAAAATCAAAACCCAGCAAATATGTAATATAATGCGCACATAAGACTAAGCAACCTCCCTTATTAATCAAGCCCATCTCAAGCTCCCAATACTAATTTAAAACCCAACAATCACATTGACCTACCTCTAATAAAACCTTCCTTGGCAATAATCCTCCCTATTAATCAGCCCATCTGCCACTCATCCTATGGTGAAACGCATCAATCTTCTGATCCAACTTCTGAGTGCTTCTGAAGGCTGATGCTACCAACCATTCTGATTGCCAATGCCCCCCTGCACCAAGAAACAATGTTTCGACAGCCCCTAAAAACTATCTAGCTAAATGTTTTAAGGTTCCCCTGTTAAATCTCTGTCAAAATCTGAAGGGTTTTCAAGCTCACAAAGGGTACCCCTTACACAAGCCCTAACCCCCTCTAATAGTCGGGGGCACCTCCCCCTCTTAATCAAGCCTACCTTTTGGCCTCCATCCATCTTGTCTTCCACCTCTTTCAAATCATCCCAGTCAAAGAAAGTATCGCCAAAGGGTTTCCGAACAGTTTCATGAGCCTGCCATGGTTTCCCCACTCAGTCTCAGTTTCCTTCTCATCCCAATGTTTCCAATCAAACCACTGATTGGACACTTGCTCATACAGTCATCATTAAGGGGACGTGGTCTCCTATACCTCCAATCTCAAACCTTGTTGACTTGTTGACTTTGAAGGGGGGTTAATTTATCCGACGTCGACCTTATTATGTATACTATAATATTTTTAAAAAAAAAAACTATCTATGATACAATACATGCCTATGGTTGCATACCACCATCGGCATTCAACGGTGGTCCATAGTATTTGATTTTGCCTCATGTAAGCCCAAAGATTTAGCCAACACATTCTTTCCAAATCCATGAACGCACATCATTATATTATCTAAATCTCATAGTCAATTCTTTAATCATTTAACCTTTCATAGGTTTCCACTCTTCTCACCTTCCTCTCGTCCCAGTGGCTGGTGTCTCTTGGGCTTCATCGGGCACCTGGGCGTCCGCCTTGTGACTCAGAAGCAGTTGGCACGCCGCCAGGTGCCCGAAGCTGGCGGCCAAGTTCAAGGCGGTCCACCCGCACCTCGGAGCAAACCATCGTAGTTTTTCACGAAAAGAAAGGAACATACTGATGCACAACGAAGATACATTGATTCGCATGATGTAACAACATGCACCATGTAAAAATGCCGAAGACGTTGAACCTCACGGACCGTACGTCATTGACCCCCCACGCCCCCGCCAAAGGTCGAAGATGCACCTAATACGCATGATGAGAGAAGCATTAAAAATTAGATGTAGATAAAGCGGACAAATGTCGATATGATGTTTGGGTGATATTACATGCAAAAATGGACATTCCCGAAGAGCGAGCATCAACATCCGAAGCACAAGGACATTTCAGCAAAAAACTCACAAGGGCCACATGAACACATGCAATGCAATGAGATGTTGCCATGGAGCAAACATCAGAAAACGCTGCTATTTACAGTCCAAAAGAAAGGTCCTGACTTTCACGCAACGTGCGACAACATCAAAGATATGATTAGTGCTTTGACAAAAAGTGCACCACGACTAGCGCGGTTCTCAGCCCGCTGGCAAAAAAATGAGCAGTTGGTGATATACGTGGTGGAGAGTCCACATGGCCAAAAAAGGATGTAACAAGTTCGATGTCACTAAGCCAAAGACTGCCCAGCGGCATTGACCTGTGCGCAAAGGATAGGCGCAAGGGGGGACACAACGCGTCACCTTGAAGAATGGGGCCTGCAGGGCTTCGGATGTGTCACATTTGCAGAATCTTGTGGAACAAACAAGACTAAACAAGGCTCTACCAGGTGATCAATGTTCAGTCCGGCTGCATCTCCAAGCTCTTCACGGCTGCAAGCAACAAGTGAAAAGGACCCGCCCCCATGCTCAGCCCGAAATCGTTCAGGAGCTTCGCGAGCTTCGCTCTTCGACTAACATGAATGCATGGTGCTGTGCTCCTGTGGCCTACCGTGGCGCCACGAAATGGCACTGATCTCCTGCCTGGGCATTCTGCTGCAACAGGGCTTGCAAAATGCGTATGTGCCCAGATTGTGCTGCCAATAGCAATGGAGTATTGCCCTCTCGATCCCTCATGTGCCTCAATCAGTTCAGTGCCAAACTCAATGCCAAAGCTACCGTGCACCGGGTGTAACTCTCTGTACAGTACTACGACTTGGAGTATGCTTAGGGCTCCTCGTTTGCTGGACTGGGCACACATTTGCCAGAAAGATCAGCAAGTGCTCCACCACGAGGGAATGTCCAAAAGTTGAAGCAATCCTCTGATGCAAAGCGATATGCAAACTCACTTGGCTAGCACACGATTCCACAGATTCTGCATGCACCGTATGTACCCCGAATATTACCTCATCACGGCGTGCTTTTCGCAATGAACAAACACCTCCTCAAGTTCGTCCCAAGGTTTGCGGACCTCAAAGAAAGTAAGCTTCACAAAAGGAATCCAAAAAGACGGTTTCTGAGATGCCGGGGTTCATCAAGGGCGTCCGTCCATTAGGGGCACGAGCATTCACATCTGCAGCATTTGCCAACCTGGCAAAAAATGGCGCTCCCGTGAATGAAAGCGCCAAATGACCGCAGAACATCTTTGTGTACGCTTGCAGTGGAGACTAAACGCAAATGAAGGGGTCTCAATCCAAGTGCGTGTTCTTTTTGCATATTTTGTGTGCTGAGAACGTTCCTCACCTGCACATCTCACCATCTCACCCCACAAATCCCCAAGACCCGACCACAGCTCTGCAAGGAGCTGCCCTGAAAGCAAAGCACTGAAAGAACGTAAATCTTTGCGCTTGAGCTCCACAACTACTGCTCGATATGGCTGCTTCATGCTGCTTCCGAGTCACAAGTCTTGCGCCACTCGTTGTGATCCGTACTGGCATGCGACCGCGAGCGCCCCAAAGCCATTGGCAGAGGTGGCGTTCACATCCACATTGCCTGCCAGGAGGGCAGAGATCACCTCGCCATTGTTCCTGAGATCGGACTCTCGACGGTCCACCACTTTGACATCGGTCTTTAACCGGCGTTTGTTTAAAAAGATCTTATTTACAGTACTAATATACTGTAAGGCCAAGTTGTGTACTGTAAGTAAGTACTAAATACTATACTAGTATCTTTTATATTATATAATATATTTATTTATAATACTAGTATTTAAACTAGTGCTTTAAGTCTGTGAGGCCACGTTGTGGAGCAAAGCTGTCTAAAGCTGGAACTGCCACCAGCCATGATTGGACTACTAGACATGCGTAGAGGTGTAGAGCCAAAGTTACAAGGCCAGCCCCAGGGATGAGCTTTGAACATGGATAGCATCAGAATGTCCGAGCATTGTCCGAGCAATAGCCGAGCGGGACTTGCCAAAGGGTTGGTAGGCAGTCCTTCCTTGAGCGTGTATCTCTGCAAAGGGTAGGATTCCAATAGCTGGATTGATCTCGCTTGCGTTCATTCAGATCACAAAGCTCCATTCCATCTAGAAAAGGCATTACTAGCACAAGATTGCCGCACACTGTCCAAACCATGCTGAGCCCTACTCTTCTGACTAAGGAGTTGGAAAGCGCTTAACAGACGAGAGGCTTGTGAGCTGCGATCCGCAAGGCTTTTCCGCCGGCAGGGCCAGAGCCATCCTCAGGGCATGGACGGATCCTACGTGGAACACTGGTCCTGAATTCCTTAGGCAATCATGGCTCATAACACCACAGAAACTACCTGGAGTCCAGAGAGAGAGAGAGAGACAGAGAGACAGAGAGAGAGAGAGAGAGAGAGCGCGAGAGAGAGAGAGAGAGGGAGAGAGAGAATGAGAGAATGAGAGAGATACAAAGGGACAGCCAAAAAAAATATCAATAAACTTTATCAAACCTCTATGTTCTCCAGCCTCTCCGGCAAGATTGGGATCCACTTTGTAATGGAAAAGCCGTTCCACGATGCTGGCATGGCCATATTCGGCCGCCCACCACAAGGCATCGGCCAAAGATGCTTGCTCCTGGCCACAAGACTTGCGACTTGAGGACCAGTGTTTTCTTGAATGACTGCAAGCTCTGACAAATCCAAATGTTCACTGCAATTTTGTTAATCGGTGTGGTGCGCAATCAATTTCAAGCAAGTTTTCCTGATTTTGTCTTCTGCCTGCCCAAAACAAATCCATTCAGTTGTGTAGTGTTGTTGGGTAGGTCCCATTCAGGGACCCAAGCCATCGCTAGTGATAGTGGGCCATCCAACGGCAATCCATCGGCACTGAATCCATCGGTCCATCAAAACCCTCAGGGTATTGGTGAAAACACACTCTGCAGGCAGCCGGAGTTGACCGGGGCCAACTCCTGGGGCCTCGGTCAAGCAACTCCTGGGGCCTGTGGGGCGCCGAAAACAGCGCCGCAGACCTTCCGATCCCTGCCTGACCGACACACAGAAGCTCTTCCACCACTTCCTGGTGGCCCTTCTGCGCAGCATTCGTGAGCGCAGTGGTAGAGTCGGATGCCTCCAAATGTGAAAAATGTGGCACCACAACAGCTTCTTCCCTCAAAGCTACTCTTGATCTAGTCATTCTCGTTGATGCAAAACAGTCCAACACATTGTAAGACATAAGAGGCAAGTAAGAGTTGCCAAGCTATATATTTAAATTAAGAGCGATACTTCTGTTTGGGCCTCAAGTTCACAGGTCCGTCGTTGCCGTAATCTCCTGTCTCCTGCTAGATGAAAGCATTATGGTGCTGCCGTAATAATATCCCGCAACATCTGAACATTTCAACAATTATGGTCAAGGGTTGTGAGGCTTCGAAAACCCGATGCCTGACATCGATCAATCGACCTGCCTGCAGGCTCACATCAGCACGTGCAGTGAGCAAGCGCTTGAGGGAGGATGTGTGACCCAAATCTGCAGCCAGCATCAGTGCTGTACACTTGGTATTGTTCCTGGGATGGCTCGTAACATCCATGTTGAGGAACAAAGGTTCTGAAACCTATAATCAGGACTACCTACCGGCCCGTGCGTAGGAACGTTCAAATCGTGTGTTGGTGCAAAACACAACACGTTGATTACTTCGGTTTCATGTAGTACATTTGGAAAGTCTTTGGTCGTTGGCACAAGGTCACAAGTCCAGGTCTGGGCCTTCAAGTCCGAAATAGCTTGCATTTGTGCTATCAACCAGTCTTTCGTATATACCTATGGACCTATTGCAGGGCAGCATGTAGCCGTCATGCAGATTCAGGTGCGGTCTTCAAGAAACAACAAAGTTCAACAGTGCATACATTTTCAGCATGCACCCGCTTACAAACAAATCGACGTTTGATCACGTTGAGTTTTGTTCACTGAATGCCAGTCTGAATACCCTTGACTCTGGAATGTCCTTCCGCTCCACCATGCTTGATCTTACAAGTGCCAAACAAATCATGCAAACAATGCAGCAATAATGTAATCGACCAAACGGCTTTATGTATACTGATGTTTCGTTTGAGCATGCTTAAGCTGGCTGGGGTTCGCCCCCATTTGACAAATGTATTTCAGAACTTTCCTTAAACAAATGCATGATTTCCTCAACAAAGTTCAATGATGCTGCCTACGTGCTGATCCCTGGAGAGTGTGGCCAAGCGGTGAATGACAGGACATGTCAAGCTCATTTGTTCAATGCGTTCTCACACTAGGGGGAGATACCATAGTAGTAGTTGGACCACGGTGCATGAACAGCCGTTTGTGCTTTTTTTTGTGTGTGTCTTTCGCGCGCTATTCACAATAGTTTTGAGGTTGTCTTCAGGGCCAGTGGGGAGAGCGTTCGTGCTTTTTAGTGCTTTTATGCATGTTCTAATAGGTTTATAAGTTGCTTTTATGCATTCTCGATGCAGGTGTCACACTCATTTTACACAGTTTCTCTGGCGAAGTGGTCTGGGGAGGAGGCAATTTGCATCATCACCAGTGTGAAAATGACATTGCTGGCCTTGCACACTTGTACGCTCGATTCCGGAAATTAGAGCACATAGGCTTGCGGTGGATGAAACGACACTTCGTGAAATTGAGTCCGGAAGAGACAAATAGAAAAAACAAGCACTAAAATGTCGTGCAAATGAGACGTTAGTTCGTGTAAACTCGATAATTAATGGACACTCAAACACTACTAATGTCATGGCTCGCAGTGTTGTTGTTGTTGTTGTTGTTGATTATTGTTTTGTCTTGCTTTTCCACTTTTGTTCATTTGCCTGTCTTTCACTTTCGCTTGAGTTTGGGGAGGTCCATATCCGTCTGGCTCTTCAACATGTAGTTTGAGGGGTCGCTAAAAGGAAGCATCATGCATTTCTCATTGTAGCAGAACTCTCATGTTGCACTCCCCCTAGTGAGGTTGAGGCCTTGATGAATTCCAGAAACACATCAGAAACCCAGTCAGGCTAACTTACAACGTCTCAAAGATCTAAAATCATGACAAAAACCCCCCGGCTGTTAGCGTACCCACACACTTTCGAAGACCACGGCGTCACCATGGTCACACGGGACGTCTGCGGGGCCCAAGCTGAACTTCAAAGCGGCTGATGGTTGACTTCTGCCTTGCTTTGCAGCAACAGTTCGAGTGTCTCCAGCTGACCTCACGCCAAAAGCTCGGAGCGCAGTGTGCCGCACCGAGCTCTGTGCCGCCAACTAGACCCTCATGCTGTTGTCGGACTGGGTGGAGACTGAAGAAAAAAGGCTTATGAAGTGCAAAGTAGGTAGCGGCTACAGTAGGGAAAAATACCACCATCCGGGTTGCGAAGCGAACGTGAAAGCCATACCCACGCCCCACGCCCTTCGGTTCAAGGAGTGCTGAAGGGATCAAGACACGCACGCTGGACAAACTCCAACGCCCACCTCCCTCCCTCCCTCCCTCCCTCCCTCTCTCTCTCTCTCTCGGCATACAGTAAGCTTCTTGATGGGACACAGCTCATGGTGAAGGGTTGACATAAGTTGACTTTTGGTATCATGATTTTTTTTGGTATCATGAATGAATGGCATACACCCCTGGTGGTTCGTTGTTAGAATTGTGTCCAATGGTGCAAGCATACGGTCCTGTGCAGCACAAAGCCGGGAATGCATTTAGATTCAGCACTAGCACACTGAATACCTTCAAGTGCGCTGCGCCTCTGTACTTGAGGCCGGGGGTTGGTGACGAAAGCTGAGCTATCATGGGGAAGGGAATGTCTTTTTCACATGCAAACGTGACATGTGGGCTGTGTGGGCAAGCTCTCCCAAGTTCAAAGGCAGGTTCGCATCTAATCACATGGCCTGAATTCGGATTCAACGAGGTGTGGATGCGAGGCATGATGTGAAGCATAAAGGTGCCAAAACGCATGTTGTCAGATGTGCGTGTGTGTGTGCGTCCACCCCTGGGCAAAGGGTTTGCCACCGCCACCTTTTTCTCAATCGCAGGGGGCAGAGGGATCTCCAGTTGTGGCCTCTGCCAACGAAGCTCCACACTGGACGATCAGGAAAACGTACCTGCGCCGTGACACTACTCCACTCTTCCGTGCCGTGTTTTGATGCCATGGTTGTTGACCACGATACTCTCCCTCAAACCGGTTTCCTCCAGCTGCTTGCAGCCGACCGCGCGAGAGTTTGCCACTGCAGTCACGCAAAAACAACTTGTTCAACCTTCAAGTGAACTGACTTTCTCGCCATCCCGTTCCCTCACCATTTTCGACCTGGGAACTGAGTGTAACTGAATACAATTGTCAGAGTGTGTTTCGCTCAGCCGTCCCACTCGGGTGCTGAGTGTGATCCCCGTCATTGGGGCGCTGTCTCATCGTGCAAGCACTAACGGACTTCAACCTTTTTCACAGGAACTCGACTGGAAGTCGCCGACACAACCGCTGAATTAACTGCCACAACGGCCGCCGGGCCTCACCACGGGAACTGCTATTCTGACAGAATCTGTAGTTTTTCTGCAGTTTTGCATCTTTGCATGACTTCTCCGCATGAAGAGCTCAAGCTAGCTGACCTGAGCTTCCAAATTTAATTCGATATGCATGAACACACCAATACACCACATACTACAACCACAATGCCTGCCACCGTTTTTTGAAAAAAGCGCCGACGCCGGCGATCTGTGTGTGTCCACCCCTGGGCAAAGGGTTTGCCACCGCCACCTTTTTCTCAATCGCAGGGGGCAGAGGGATCTCCAGTTGTGGCCTCTGCCTACGAAGCTCCACACTGGACAATCAGGAAAACGTACCTGCGCCGTGACACTACTCCACTCTTCCGTGCTGTGTTTTGATGCCATGGTTGTTGACCACGATACTCTCCCCTCAAACCGGTTTCCTCCAGCTGCTTGCAGCCGACCGCGCGAGAGTTTGCCACTGCAGTCACGCAAAAACAACTTGTTCAACCTTCAAGTGAACTGACTTTCTCGCCATGCCGTTCCCTCACCATTTTCGACCTGGGAACTGAGTGCAACTGAATACAATTGTCAGAGTGTGTGTTTGTGTCCACCCCTGGACAAAGGGTTTCTTTCAGCCGATCCACCTTCC